AATCATTTGTTTTCTTATTATTGAGTTTGAGAGTTCTTTGTATATTCTAGACAGATCTCTTAATTAGATATAGAATTTGCAAATATGTTCTCCTAGTCTGTGGCTTATCTTTCTATTCTCTCAATAGTATCTTTAGAAGATTCAAATTTTGATGAAGTCCAATATATATATCAGTTTTTTTCTATAATGGATCATGATTTTTGTGTTATATTGAGAAATCTTTGCTTAATCCGTGGTCACAAAGATTTTCTCCTATGTTCTCTTCTAGAAATTTTATGGTTTCAGGTTTTAGATTTAGGTCTATGATTAATTTTGAGTTATTTTTTGTACTGGGCATGAGATATGAATCAAAGTCCACTTTTCTCCATATGAATATGAAGTTTCTCTAGGACCATTTACTGAAAAGACTTTCCTCCAGAGAATTACATTTACACCTTTGTCTAAAATCGATTGACAGTATAAGGCTCTGCCTCTGGACTCTTCTGTTCCATCTCTCTTGACATCAACAATTTCATATTGTCTTGATTGCTGACCCACTTAGTTTTTTTTCAAAATTGTTTGGCTATTTTGGGTCCTTCACATTTCCATATGAACCTTAGATACAGCATATTGTTTTGTTTTGTTTTGTTTTTAAGATATTATTTATTTGAGAGAGAGAGAATTAGAGACAGAGAGCATGAGAGGGAGGAGGGTCAGAGGGAGAAGCAGACTCCCCGCTGAGCAGGGAGCCCGATGCGGGACTCGATCCCAGGACTCCAGGATCATGACCTGAGCCGAAGGCAGTCGCTTAACCAACTGAGCCACCCAGGCACCCCCAGCATATTGGTTTTAACAACTAAAAAAGTTTGCTGGAATTTTTACTACAATTACACTGAATTTATAGATCAATTTGAGGGTGGAGTTGACATTTTAACAATGTTGAATCCTCTGATCCATGACCGTGGTATATCTCTTCACTTATGTAGGTCTTCTTTAATTTCTCTCAGAAGTGTTTTGCCGTGTTTAGTGTACAGATCTTGCACACATCTTTTGTCAGATTTTTTTCCACACATTTCATATTTTTGATGCTATTAAAAATGGTGTATTAAAATATTTTAATTCCCAATTGTTCATTGCTATTATATAGAAATATAATTGACTTTCTAAATTTTTAAAGATTTTATTTATTTATTTGCCAGAGAGAGAGGGAGAGAGCACAAGCAGGGGGAGCGGCAGGCAGAGGGAGAATCAGACTCCCCGCTGAGCAAGGAGCCCGATGCGGGACTCGATCCCAGGATCCTGGGATCATGACCTGAGCCAGAGGCAGACGTTTAACCGACTGAGCTACCCAGGTGTCCCTGACTTTAAAAATTTTTAAATATACTTTATTTTTTAGGGTAGTTTTATGTTCACAGCAGATATAATTTATTTTTATATATTGATCTTGTATCCTTCATCCTTGCTAAACTATAGCAGCTTTTTGTATGATTCCATAGGATTTTATACACAATCATGTTTTCTGCAAAATAAAGACAGTTTTACTTCTTCCTTTCCAATCCAGCTGATTTTACTTCTCTTTCTCTGTCTCTCCTATTCTCTTTCTTTGTATGTTAAGCTTTGTAGCTCATTGAAAGGAGTGGTCATCTTTTATAATGGCTGATTATGATTACAAAATTTGAAAAACATTATTTAATCCATGAGCAACATTATGATATATTTTCAAGTGAAAGGCTTTTGTCTCATTTGCAATTTGCCACAGAAATTGATGGAGAAAAATGTTATAGCTCTTTTATGAAATGGACACAAGTAGTATTATAAGATATATATTTTTGGTATATACATATAAATATGTATTTTTTGGTATATTATATATATATAATGCTGAATCATGCAGTAATAAGGCTCTGACTCTGGAGATCTGCTACTCAAAGTATAGAGTTTGACATCAGATTTTCAAATGTTTGGTTGATTGTTGGACTAGATTAGTCAGGGTGGGGAAGTTTGATGTTACGCTTTATTATTGACATCATTGCCCTTTTCAGGAGTATGGCAGGTTTACTAATGGTGAAAGGCGCAATTATTTCTGTCTTTTGACTGAGTTCATTGTCTAAAACCTCTAGTATATCATGTAGAAAGGACGAAGGCAGACATCCTTGCCCTATTCCTGAACTTAGGGGGAAAGCGTTCAGTATTTTACTACTGGGTGTATTGTTAGCACTAAGTTTTTCATTGCTGTCTTTCGTCAGGTTGAGGATGTTCCAAACTCCTCCTAGTTTGCTGGGAGGTTTTTTGTTTTTTTTTTTCCAGAACAGATGTTGATTTTATCAAATGTTTTTTTATGCATCTATTGAGACAATCATATGCTTTTTCTTTTTTAGTTTGTTAATATGGTGAATTACGTTGATTGATTTTGAATGTTGAAAAAACCTTGCATTCCTGAGGATAAACTCCTTTGGTATAGTGTATTATCCTTTTTTTTTTTTTTTTAAAGATTTTTATCTATTTATTTGACAGAGAGAGAGACAGCGAGAGAGGGAACAAGCAGGGGGAGTGGGAGAGGGAGAAGCAGGCTTCCCGCTGAGCAGGGAGCCCCATGCGGGGCTCGATCCCAGGACCCTGGGATCATGACCTGAGCCGAAGGCAGATGCTTAATGACTGAGCCACCCAGGCGCCCCAGTGTATTATCTTTTTTGTAAGTTGTTAGTTTCAAGTTAAGATTTTCTCTTTAAATATATTAAGATTTTATTTATTTACTTGAGAGAGAGCAAGAGCGAGAAAGCACAGAGGGAGAGGGAGAAGCAGACTCCCCGCTGAGCAGAGAGCCTGACATGGGGCTCAATCCCAGGACCCGGAGATCATGACCTGAGCCAAAGGCAGACACTCAACCGCCTGAGCCACCCAGGCGCCCCCAAGTTAAGATTTTTTTTTTAAAGATTTTATTTATTTATTTGACAGAGAGAGACACAGGGAGAGAGGGAAAATAAGCAGGGGAAGTGGGAGAGGGAGAAGCAGGCTCCCTGCTGACTCAGGGCTCAATCCCAAGACCCTGGGATCATGACCTGAGCCGAAGGCAGATGTTCAATGACTGAGCCACCCACACGCCCCAAGATTTTCTTAATAATATTTGCCTCTGTGTTTATGAGGGGTGTTGTCCTGTAGTTTTCTTGTGTTGTCTTTGTCTGGTTTTGATGTCAGATAATGCTGTCCTCATACAATAAGATGGAAAGTATTCTCTTCTCTTTTTCTGGAAGAGTGTGTAGAATTGGTATTATTTCTTCCTTAAAAGTTTGGTAGAATTTACTAGTGAAGCCATATGGATCTGGAGTTTTCTTTGTGGGAATGTTAAGTAAATTTAATGTCTCTAATAGATATTGTGTTATCAGGTTATGTATTTCTTCTTGCATGAGCTTTGGTATTTTGTGTCTTTTAAAGATTTTGTCCATTTCCTCTATATTGTCCAGTTTATTGGTATGGTGTGTTCATAATATTCCCTTATTACTGTTTTGGTATCTGTAGAATCTGCGTTGTTGTTACCTTCATCATTCTTGATATTGATCACTTGTATCTTATTTTTTTTCTGGTCTAGTCTATTTACAGAATTATACATTTTGTTGACCTCACAAAACCAGCTTTTGGTGTTACTGATTTTTATTCTATTGTTTTTCTCTATTCTTTTTTGATTATTTTCACTTTATTTTTTTTTTTTTAAGATTTTATTTTATTATTTATTTGACAGAGAGAGACACAGTGAGAGAGGGAACACAAGCAGGGGGAGAGGGAGAGGGAGAAGCAGGCTTCCCGCAGAGCAGGGAGCCCGATGCGGGGCTCGATCCCAGGACCCTGGGACCATGACCTGAGCCGAAGGCAGACGCTTAACGACTGAGCCACCCAGGCGCCCCGATTATTTTCACTTTAATCTTTTTTATTTCAATTCTTGTGCTTACTTTGGGCTTTATTTGCTCTTCCATTTCCAGTTCCTTAAAGTAGAAAGTGAGGTAATTCATTTGACACATTTGTTATTTTCTAATACAGATATTTTTAGTGCTGTGATTTTTTTCTCTATGTACTGCTTTAACTGCATCCCACACATTTTGATATTTTTTCATTTTCATTCAGTTCAAAATACTTTCTAACTTTCTTTTAGATTTTTTATTTCACTCATATGTTATTTAAATGTATGTTGTTTAGTTTCTAAATATTTGGAGATTTTCCAGGGGTCTTTCTGTTACTCATTTCTAATTTAATTCCATTGTGGTCAAAGAACATACTTGAAATGACTTTTTTTTAAGGAGGCTCCGCACCCAACGTGGGGCTCAAACTCACAACCCTGATATCAAGAGTCAAATGCTCTACTGACCGAGTCAGGCAGGCGTCCCCTAGAAACGACTGTAATATTTAAAAATTTTTGAGGCTTGTTTTATGGTTGAGAATATGGTCTGTCTTGGTAAATACTTCATGTATATATGAAACTAAGCATTCCTCAGTTTTAAACATCCATACTTTTGTAATTTTTTTTTAGATTTTCTTTTTTGAGAGAGTACGTGTGCGACCTTGGAGAAGGGCAGAAGGGGAGGGAGAGGGAGAATTTCGAGCAGACTCCGTGCTGAGCACAGAGCCCCACACAGGGCTTGATCTCAAGACCCTGAGATTATGAGCTGAGCCGAAACCAAGAGTCAGACACCTAACTGACTGAGCTACCCAGATGCCCCCATAGTTTTGTAATTATTATTTAGTTACATTCATAGTAATTTGGGGAGGGTGCAGGTTATCGTCTTGAATCGGAAGATGCCTATTTGATGTCTTCAAGCTGCTCAAAGGCAGGCTCTGTGTCCTGTTTGCCTTTCTATCCCTTTAACATTTCTCCTGGCCCCAAATGGAAGCTCAGCAGACCCTGGTTGAATGGATGGATGACACTCAAAAGTGGTTAAGCTGTGTTCTTGTTTTTGCCTCAGAAAATATCCCTATTGTGCTATGTGACAAGACGGATTCTCACACACCCTTATGTCTTTGTATCCCTGCAGGACTTTGCACGTCGCTGAGCACACCGAAGGTGCTCGAGCAGCACTGGGGACACGGAATGGAACGAGAGAGATGGCTGCAGAGGCACTGCAGAGGCTGGTGGGGACGGGAGGCCTTGCTGAGGCACCTGACGAACTGCTCTGGCCACAGCTGGAGGGGCTGTCCTGTCACAAAGCCCCCTGAGACATGATGTCACACACAGACACCACTCTCCTTGAAAAAGGGAGGGGCTGGGCCCTGGGCTCCCAGACTTAGCTGGGCTCCGGTGCCCTTCTAGGCTCGGTCCTAGAGCCGGACGGGGGGCGAGGAGGACGCTGCCTGGACTCTGATACGGTCAGAGGGAGCTCTGCAAATCGCCGACACCATCGAGGTTGGCAGCTTTGGCAAGCCAGGCTCGAAGGCTGTCCTCAGTAAAGCACCCAAGCAGGTGAAAATTGTCTCTACAGCTCTTGGCTTCCCCTTGCCTCATCCCTTCCTGCCTGGCATTCCCCTTCTCCCCCGCTTCTTCTCGCCCTCGCGACCCATTTACTCTCCTCTCCTCCTCCAGACCGCCTCTCAGAAAAAGCCTGATAACTTTGCTCACACCAAGTTATAAAAGACCAAAAAGCTTCCTGGTGAATACACTGCGGGCGGGTTTCTCAGAGAAGGTGCTCTGGAGAAGGGAGGCACGCAGGGCCCTGCGGAGAGGTGAAGTGAGCCAAGCCTGGAAACGGCCCACGGGGCTTGGGGGCTCAGAGCGCACTGGTGACCTGGGCGGGAGAGGTGTTGGAGGTTTGCAGGGCCGGGAACAGATGGAGGCAGCTGAGGGGTGAGCGGAGGCCGAGAGGAGGGAAGACACCCAGGGCAGACAGCTGGTGGGCTGGGGTGGAGGATAGGGGGCCATTACAACGGTCACTGGGGAAGGGGTCTGGTTCAAGGGAGAAGGCCTTCTTTTAATGGAAGAGATGAGTGCGTGTGAAATGCTGATTAGGAGCCAGAAGGGAAGGAAAGGCTAAATATACCAGTGAGCGAGGGGCCCCCAAACACCCAGGCGGGGAGACCAGATGGAAGGGAGCACAGAGCAGGGCAGCCGCATCCCTGAGGAGGGAGCAGAGAATGGGTGGGTTTGGCGGCAGAGAGTCGAGGAACTCCCGTCTGGGGACACCTGAGTTCTCTGCTGAGAGTGGGGCAGGCAAAGTGGGGGTGCAGGGTTAAAGGGAGATTCTGAACTTGTCCCTGGGGAGACTAGGGAGCTCCCTTGGGAAGCAGAGGCTCCCCAGGCCACGATGGGTCCAGCTCACATCGGAGACCTTGACTTTACCATGGCCTTGGTTTGTATGGAGTTCAACCATGCTGGTGGGATTTCAGATAGAGAGGATCTTTTTGAGGAGGCCAAGGATCTCCCCTAGGACTCCCTAAATTACAAGAGATAATAATAATGATTAAAAACTACCAACACTTTCAAATATTTCCTGTTACACAGCGTTTCTGAAATAACTAGCCACCTACGTCTGGGGTCATTTTACACCAAACGTTCAATAGAGTGATACTTTTTTCCTTAATCCTATCCCAACCCCTTTCCCCATCCTGATTCTCTGAGAACTACCTTTCCAGCTCTGAGGGCATTGAAACCAGCTTTTGTTTGGGACTCTGAGGTCTTGGGAGAAATTCCTGAGCATTTCCCAAGCTCCCAGTGCTAGCCCAGTCCCTCCTAAATTTGGCCCCGGCTGAGCCCTGCGGGTGGAGGTCCTGGCCTTTCCCCGACCGCCTCTGGCCCCTCACACTCCCCATAAGCCACCTGGTAAAGGAACACGGGATCCGGGGCCTGCCTGATGCATTGACTGTTGACCATCTTTTCTTCTTAGACTGAAAATGGTGTTTGGACTGGGCGGCCAGAGAGAGAGGTAAAGTTTAGGTGGGCCCTGCCACAGTGCCTCGAGTGACCAGGACGGGGAACCCCCACTTGGGTCTAAGAGGAAGGGAAAATAGGGTTCTCTGCTCCCCTTTCCTTGACTGTTCCAGTATCTCTGGGACTCAGGGTTGGGGTGGAAGGCCTGGTCCTGGCAGGCGGGAACTGCCTGTGTGTGTGTGCGCGTGCATGTGTGTGAGTGTTTGTGTGTGCACGTGCACGCACACACTGGGAGCCACCGTCCCTGCAGCGTCAAGATGCTCTGCTTGTGGCAAGGGAGGGGTCCCAGAAGAGGTGGATGAGTCACGGGGATATAATTTCTGATCGGGATTGTGGGATCTGTCAGTCCAGAGTAGGGGGGCCTTGGAGGACCTCTGCGGGAAGAGCAGATCCAGCGTTGAGTGCCCAACCACGGCCGGGTCCTTGCTTTCCAGCTGAGAAGGCAGGGTGGACCCAGGGAGATAAGTGCAAAAGGAAAGGAGAAGGGAGTGTGTTCTAGGCTCCGAGTCTGGCTCTCAATGTAGGCGGAGGCCCCGAGCCTGGCCCGCCGGACAGTGGGGAGCCCCTGCGAGCCCGGTACAGCTGAGGGATTTATTCACTCACAGTGTGGGACACGCGCTGGCAGAGTTGGTCCTGGGGCTTGGAGTGGGAGGAACCTGGTCCCCACCCGCAGTGAGGACACGAGACGCCCCAGCCTTACCCTCAACTCCGCTTTCCTTCCAGGCTCTACAAGCCCCTGTATGTAGCACACCTCTTCATTCTTGCAGGTAAGGGCCTGGGCGCTGGGGCCATGGCAGGAGCCGGGGGGCTGGTTCTCACTTCGGGGCTGTCCCACTCTCCGGCTGCCTGCCCCCCTGGCGATGCTGCTCAGAGGCAAGGCTGCCCTTCTGTCCCTTTCCTTCCTTGGTACCTTCCTAGTGAAATGGATTTGAACCCATGTTTGATTCGAAAACCCATCCCCCCCCCCCACCGAAAACCCACGAACCAAAACCCACACAACCTCATGTCCTATAGCAGTGATCTTCAACGTTGGCCTGCACACCTGTAATTGAAAAATTACGTATCCTCTCATAATTTTAATACCTGACGTCTTTCATTACCAGTTTAGTTTAAAAGGATACGATTTCTGGTGCATTGCAAATACTGACATTGTAAGGTAATTGTATCGCTCTTAAACGTTTTAATTAGTCTTTCTTCACCCACCTGCAGGCGTGGTGTACTACTATTTTCAGGGCTCTGTGGGGAAGCCAGCCCCTGACGATGAGATTGCTGAGGGACCCTCACAGGTAGGCACTGTGCAGGCCTCGAGGCCAGGGTGGTCTCGCTGTAGCCTGAGTAGAGGTCATGCTCCTCGGCCTCAATTGTTACCCAGCTGTGTGTGTGCGTGCGTGTGTGCGAATGTGAGGGCTCTGCAGAAGTTCGCTGTGCTTCTGGCAAAGTGTCCAAACAGAGGCTCCACCCCTCCGGGGCTGGCTGTGTAATCACCTCGGGGCTCTGTGGCCACGGCGCCCACAAACCAAAAGGAACAGATGATCCCTCATTCATGTGAGTAGCTCTGGAATGTGGTTCAGCGCTCACATGTGGATGAGGCGGTGGTGAGCAGGACGCCTGCCTGGGGTTGCATACTCTCCTCGATGTCCCAGATCCAAGAACCTAGGGCAGAAGCCCCTGCTCCCAGCCCTGGGTGGCTGCTGGACCCCCACCAAGGGCCCCATGCTGGACTACGTGCCATCTGCTCGGTCATAGTAAACCTCACAGCCGCCCAGCCGCTCGCACTTTATGTAGATGGGAAACAGGCCCCTAGGCGGACAGTGACTGGATCCAGGCCGCCCACGTTGACAGGACAGAACCACATCCCTGATCTCCGGAGGCCTCCCGCTCTCTGAACAGTGCCGTTGGGAAGAGGGGATTCCCATAGAGACAAGGCTGTCTGCAGCCCAGAAGCACTGAGAAGGATGCGCTACACCTTTTGGGGCTGACCATTAAGCCCCTAAGAGGGCCCATGTTGGCAGATGCCTTGGAGACCACGGAGTCCAACTTTGCTTCCTTTCTTTGTTGCTGTTGTTGTGGTTTAAAGTAACTGATCACATTTCCACTTAAAAAAAAAAAAAGTTTTATCGTCATCAAAGATAGGCATGTACGTAGTTTGATGCTTCAAAGTTTTAAGACCTGAAACCAACAAATGGCTTCCTTGTGCCCCACCCACGATCCCCGCACCCCAGGATGGGAATCTTCCCAGCCTCTGACCTTTCCAGCTGGAACCTTTGATTTTTCCATGTTTCTAAATAGTAAGCTTATCCTGCTTTGTCTTGATTTTTCAGATTTAAACATTAGCCAGTGAATTCCTACAGTGGAAGCTGAGGTTTTAGCTCTCGGAACAACTGTCGATTTACTGCCCTCCGACACACACTTCACCTCCCTCCAGCTTCCAGTATAGTTACAGCCGTGTTTTCTGAGTAATGACATTTTCAATCGTTAAAATCTTTTAAATAACATTGTTGCTGATTTTTCTATCATTTTGGCTTTTAAGTCCCCCTCCGCTGCAGTGGGCTCATTTTCGGCAGCCGGGTAACCCCCACCACAAAAACAGAGCAGCTCCATCCCTTCAAAAAATTGCTCCAGACTCACGTGCAGTCAGCCCTTCCCCCACCCCCGGCATCCAGTGAAGAGTTTTCTGTTCCTATAGTCTGGCCTTTTTGAGATTGCCCTGTAAGTGGAGACATCCTGCCTGTCGTCTGGTTTCTCACCAAGTTTGGTGCGCCCGAGGCCGCTCTGGGCGCATGCGCAGCAGCAGCTCATTCCTTCTTGCTGAGCAGGTGTCCTTCGTGGGGATGCACTGCAGTTCGTCTGCTCAGCACCTAAGAGATATTTGGGTGTTTCTAGTTGGGGGACAATTTCAAATAAAGCCGCTGTGGGGCGCCTGGATGGCTCAGTCGGTTAAGCGTCTGACTCTCGGTTTCCGCTCAGGTTATGATCTCGGGGTCCTGGGATGCAGCCCCCGCATCTGGGCTCCTCAGTCGGTGGGCAGTCTGCTTGAGATTCTCTCTCCCTCTGCCCCTCCCCCATTCGTGCTTTCTCTCTCTAAAATAAATAAATAAAATCTTTTTTAAAAATCCCACTATAAATATGTATAAGTTTTGTGTCAACATAGGTTTTCCTTTCCCTTTGGTCACCACCGGCAGCAGGGCTGGTGGGTCATGTGGTCGGCGTCCATGTAGTTTGGTCGGAGACTGTGACTTTCCGAGTGGCGAAGGCGAGCTTCCGGTGGTTCCACATCGGCTCCTGCGCTGGCCATTGGTTTTGGCCATGCGGGGCGTGTCTGTCATAGTTTCTGTTAGACCAGTGTGGAGGGCTTACATTTGGAAACTGTGAGAACAGTATTCTTAGCTGAGTCACCTCGTGTACCTGGTTACTATTCTTGGCGTGTGATTTTGGTTTTGCCTCTTTTCTCTGTTAGTTTTCTCTTTACCTACAATTAATTTACCCAGGCTCTATGCCAAAAAATACCAATCTCCTTGCAGTACATTTAGACAAGTTAGGTGCTTTATCTGATGGTTTTTGCAGAGCCATATCTCAGGGAGCCCTCCCTCCTGCTGTCCCCACACGGACAGGATGTCCTCGAGGTTCGCTGCTCAGCTGTCCTGGGACCTCCCTTTCTCGTCGCTCTGGGGAGCCCCTGTCTGTCACTCCTTTATTTTGATGGAACACAACCTCTAGGGGAACCTCTGCTTCCTGAGGGTAGCTTGAGATATTCCATGTTTGAAACAGTCTTAATTCATATTCGACTAAGAGTTTGGGTAGGTATAGAATTCTAGACTAGAAATATTTTTCTCATAGATTTTGAAGATCCTCATGGTCTTCTGGCTTCAAAGACTTTCAAAGAAAAGTCGGAGGAAAGTTGAATTCCTAGAACAGAATTTTTTCTTTTCTTTTTTTTTTTTAAAGATTTTATTTATTTTTTAGAGAGCGAGCGAGAGGGAAACAGCATGAGAGGGGAGAGGGTCAGAGGGAGAAGCAGGCTCCCCGCTGAGCCGGGAGCCCGACGTGGGACTCGATCCCAGGACCCCGGGATCATGACCTGAGCCGAAGGCAGACGCTTAACCATCTGAGCCACCCAGGCGCCCGAACAGAATTTTTTCTTTGTATTTCTGGAAGTTTTTGGGTTCCTTGTCCTCAGTGTTTTGAGATTTACTGATGACAAAATCTGGGGTGAATCTCTATCATCCATTGTCCTGGACACTTGGTGATTCCTTCTCTTCTGCAAACTCATGTCCCTTATCATGTCTTGATAAAACAGGGCCGTATCTATCTGGTATCTCTCCCTGCCACCTCAGTCTGTTGTCTGTTCCCTGTCTCAGAAAGATCTATGAGTTATCTGTGGGAGCTCCTGATCTCTTCTCTCTGTTCTTTCTGGGAAAAAAATTTTTTTAACTTACCTCCTACACTTCGATTGGATTTCTCATTCCCATTATTCTATCATATTTTTGTTTTCAAGAATTAAGAGGTTTTTTCAACATATTCTGTTTTATTCTTGTTTCACAAATGCCAGGTTTTAACTTTCTCAAGACAGGTAGTTCTTAGGTGTCTGTCTTAGGTCACTGTCACTGACAGTGAATTAGTGAATTAGTGTGTCACCTCAGCCTTCCCTCCCTCCGCTCTCTCCTTGTCGTGCAGCTCATAGGGGAGACCTTGAGGCCGGTGTGGGGGCCAATGGATAAGTGCTACCCTGTGACCACTCAGGTAGGTAAGGGCTGGGGACCCCACTTCCCCTGGAGTGGGCACCCTGGGCAGGTACAGTGAGAGGACGGCCCCTCCCAGCTGGAAGTCACTTCTGTTTCCCTCTGTAGAGACGCAGAGTCAAGATCGGGAAGAAGCAAGCCAAGGTAAGTGAGGCTCGCTTCTGTCAGAGCTCCATGTGACGCAGAGACAGCCCAGCTCGTGGCAGGGGAGTCCCAGGGATGGTGGCAGGGCCCCCCCCTTTCTCCTCCCTCCCCCGGGAAACTTGCAACTCGCTGAGAAGGGAAGGCCTTCCTTGGGAAAACGAAGAACGATACACAGTGCAGGTGTGGAGACGGGCCAGGAGGATGAGGGCTCTGCGGGCCTTTCTGCCCACGTCCGCCCTCCCGCCCCTCCCTGCAGGCCATGGCCCCCAAGGCAACGGGAGGACTGAGCGGTGCTGCCCCCAAGGAGGAGACTGAGCTCCGGTCTCAGCAGGAGGGGGAGGTGAGGCCCCCAGGGGCGGAAGCCGCCGGCCCCGCTGTGAAGGAGGTGGCTGAGGAAGAGGCAGCAGGGACCCCAGGCTGGGAGGTGAGGATCATCCCCAGCACCTCTAGGGTTCCCAGTGCTACTGGGAAGCCCCAGAGCACTGCGGGGGGAGGAGGGCAGTGTTGGGGGGCATGGGGCACCCGCAAGGACACTGGGCCAAACTGCTGTCCCGGTGGCGCAAGGAGCCCTGTGGGGCGGAGAGTGGGCCGGACCCTGCCTCCCCCGCCCGCCACCGCCGCCTGCCCGGCTGGGTAATGTGACTGTCGTGTGTCACCACCGTGCCCCGTCTTTCTTCCCAGGAGAACACGAAGGTCCAAAAGGAGGTGGCGGTACACCCTTCCGGTAAGACAGCACAGCCCGCCCCTGGGGGGCTTACGGATGGCGCAGCCTCTCGCGGGCCCTGGGCCGGGGGGCGGGGGGAAGGAGCCCAGGTAGCCAGGCGCCCCGTCCTCCCCGAATGTCTCCGCCGCCTCCTGCTTCCTTCCTGGTGGGCAGACCCTTGAGGCGAGCGTTTGGTCAGCGCCGGCCTGTTCCCCCCCGCCCTGGGGAAGGGTCCTCCCTGCAAGGGACCCACAGGGCTTGCCTGTCTGTGCTTTGCAGAGGCCTCTGCGGTGGGGAGCAAGGACGAGAGGCCTGGGGGCTGGGTCCCCCGGCTCCTGAGGAAGCTCTGGCTGCACTGGGTCCCAGCCGCTGACATGCCAAAGACGCAGAACCACGAATGACCGAAGAGCCAATAAACCCAGAGACTTGCTGCTTCTGCAGACCCAGCTGCTTCCTTTCAGGGGCTTCGTCGAAACTCAGGGGGGCCCCGTCCACACTCTCTGCCCTGACAAGCTGCGCCTGAGCCCCGCCACAGCAGCTGGTACTCTGGAGAGGCCCCCCGACCCCATGCTGAGGGGCAGAGCGAGTTCCCCGAATGCGGAGAGCTGGGAAGCTCCATGTTGTGAGCGCATTTAGAAGGTGCTGGTGGGACCTCTGTCAGGGATGCTCTTGGGTCTGGGCTGGAGGGGTGTCCTCTGGCAAAAGAGACCTGGGGGAGTGAGGGGCCTCTGACCTGTCTCTGGTCCCCATACTGTTCCTTAAATGCACCAGGGGGTCTGTCTAAGACCTGGCTAAGCGGGTGCTGCCCAGCTGCTCAGTCCAGAACCAGCCAATTGTGGGCGTGGGCACAGGGGAGGACAGCGGTCCTGCTCTCGGCCAGGGCTCCAGGCTAACAGGGTCACGGCCCCAGAAGTCAGAGCAGGACCACCGGCCCCAGCAGCCATCTGGTGCAACCATCTCACTGGCTGAGGGGGAAACAGAAGCCCAGGGCAGGGAGGAACCGGCCCAGGGCCACACAGTATCCCGGCAGAGCAAGGGTGAAAGCCAGGGTGTCCTCCTCCAAAGTCTCCACGTGGCCGCCTCCTCCTCTGGCCATTCCACTGTCACATGGGTCCAAGGCTGGCCCCTGTCCCGAGGGTAACCTGGGGCCCACAGGTCTCACTGCCTTCCCCTGGTCAAGTCTCCTAGAGCCCAGCTTGACCCAGCCACTCAGAGGACTGTGCCCTAGGTTGGAGCCCTGATGAGTGGCCTCCTCCTACTCTAGCCTGGCCGTGAGTGGCAACTTCTAGGCAGGCGCCTGAACACAGGCATCCCTGAGGGGCTGGGGAAGGGGTCCACCTAGCTTGGGGTGACTGACTTAGGGAGGTGGCTCACTCCTGGACTGCCAAAGGCTTCCCAGGGAAAGTTCTGGCACCTGTGGACTGAGCCCTGGGTGTTAACCTGGCACATCCCCTCATGGCCATCCCTGAAGTCCCTACCTTTGGGGGAGTCGTAGATGCAGTGGGACAGAAGAGCTTGTGGTGCTGGCGAAGCTGCTGGCCCGTGGGGTGGGGTGGGGTGCGTGGCGTTGGACCTGAGATGTGGGTGTCCAGGCTGAGTGGGGCCTGCCCCCCCCACCAGGGTCCGGCTGAGAGCTCTCAGCCCCTTGTTCTAGCTCTGCCTGCCATGAGCCAGGACCTAAGTACAGACATTGGCACTAACCCAAGTCGCCAGTATTGGGTCCCTGTGGGTGACTAGGGGTAAGCTGTGATCTTCTGACCCTCACTATCCCCATCTCTCAAATGGGATCAAATGCAAAGTAAGGATGGCTCAGGCAGGGGTAGGGGCTGGCCCTGGGGAGGCTGCTAAGGCCCCATCACGGCCAGGGGCTGCTCAGGAGGCCCTGAGGGGACTCAGAAGGCAGGATGGAGCCACCCAACTGGTTGACTGGCCCATCAGGCCCCTGCTGAGGAGCTGGTGGGGCAGGGGGATGCTTCCTCCCTCTAGCGAGGCACAGCACGGAGCTGGGAGGGGGCTGGGGTCACCAGGAAGGAGAAGACCCTGTGGTCGCTGGGCCGGGGCTGTCCGGTAGGCACGGAGAAGCTGAAGCGCTGCAGGAAGCAGGTGAAGAAGAGGAAGAGCTCCATGCGGGCCAGGGGCTCCCCAAGGCAGATGCGGCGGCCTGGGGGGGGGGGCCGGGGGTGCGCCTCAGGAGGGGCCAGCGAGTTGGGCACCCCAGGCACCTGCGGAGAAGGGCACGAAGGCCTCCTGCTTGACGAATCGGCCCTGGGCATCCAGGAAGTGCTCGGGGTGGAAACGGAAGGCCTTCTTCCAGACCTTCTCGTCCTTCAGCACTGACGATAGGTTGGTGATAAGTCTTGTCCCCTGGCAGGAGATGCCTGGCATGAGTGGGGTCCAGGCTACAGGACGCCAGACCCCCGCCGCCGAACATCTATGGGCGCACACTCTGCCTGGCACACACCCAGCCTCATCCAAGTAACACCTCAGCCCGAGAAGCTTCTCGGCACCCTCTGTCCGCACGGCGGGGCCGAGTGCCTCACCACCCATGGGCACCCACGCTGCCACCCACCCCTGCGCACGGGCTCCTTCAACACCTTGTGGCAGATTTCAGTTTGTCCTCCCCAGGGACTGGGGCTCTGAAGGGACAGGGCTGGCCCTGCTGATGCTCGCCGCCCCCCCCCCCGGCCCCCGGGGTAGCCGGCGCCTGCAGAAACGCGGACTGGGGGCCCGGGCCCTCCCGGGCATTAGCCGTGCCGGGGCTGCCAGGTCGGAGGTGGTGTGCACACGGGTGAGGGAGGCCCGCAGACCTACCTTGGGGACGGGGAAGCCCTGCACTTCAGGGTCTCGGGACATCATATGAAGCAAGCCCAGTGGGATGATGTCCCCAAAACGCTGCACCTCATGGACCACGGCCAATGGTGAAGGGCATGTGGGTCTGGTCCCCCATCTCTGGTCCCTGCACCCGCCCTATCACCTCATCTATCTCCTGTTGGACACATCCTGGACAGACAGGCATCCCCACAGTGGTCAGAACCCAGGAGTCTGGGCTCCGACCTCTGCCTGACTCCTGTGGGGGGCTTTGCCCACGTGGAGGCAGCTCTTACCTCCGAGCTAGGGCCCAGCCTCTGCTCGGAGCTTCTGGGGGCCAAATCAAGCTCAAGGGGCCCCAGCCTGTCCCTCTCCTCCCTCATCCATCCCACCCGGCCCCCAGGGTGGGCTCACACTGCACGTCCGGGTGCAGGATCATGAGCAGGAGGGCCCAGGTCAGCGTGGCTGAGGTGGACACCATCCCAGCAGCGAAAAGGTCAGATGTCACCATGCCCAGGTTCTCATCATTGAAGCTGCTCTCGGGGCTCCCCTTGGCCTGGGCCATGCCGAGAGAGAGGGTGAGCTCTGGGGCAGAGGGAAGGAGCCCCCAAATGGCCTCCCACCCCCGCATCCATCAGTAATCACTGATCACTGGCTGATATACGGGCCCCACCATCCTGGGCCTTGATTCATGGGGCCTTCAACCCACAACCATTGTCCCTGACACCTCACCTTTTCCACCTCATCCAGGAAGGCATCAGTCAGGTCTCAGGGTGGCTGGGTTGGGTCCCGGGTCATCCTGTGTTCCTGTATTAGCTCATCTATTAGGATCATGAGGGTCTTCTGTGCTGAGAAGACCTTGTTGGCCAGTCCCGGGATGCGCAAGAGCATGGGGATGGAGTTCAGGATCTGTGTGGACCACAGATGAGGGACCTTCCTGTGCTCGCGTGTTCGTCTTGATCAGTCAGGTCCCGCGGCCTCCAGAGTGTCCCCACCATTGACATGGTTCCTCCCTAAGTTCGTCCTTGATCCTCCTTCCTGGCCCGGGGACCAGAAGGATAAATCTAAAATCTAGATCTCATGGGCTCTGGTGGCTTCCAATGAAGGAGGTGCTAAGATTCCTTAGCCGTCTCCCTGGGCCCGCCTCTGCCATCTCCCTCGTTTGGGATTTCCCCACCTCCACGCCTCCCGTCTCGGAACGCCTTTTCTCCCCCGCCCCTCTCCCCACCCCCTCCTCCGGGAGGCCCATTTTAGCGCGAGGCCTCCTCCCCGGAGCTCGCTCCGCAGGGCTCCGTGGCGCCTCGGCCCCGCACCTCGCGCAGGAAGCCCTGGTCCTCCTCCACTCCCGCCTGCAGTCGTTCCAGCAGCTTGAGGAAGGGGCCGGTCGTCGTACTCGAAGCGGCGCCCGTAGGTGAGGGCGGAGATCACGTTGCTCACCGCTTTATCCACGCGGGCGCCGGGGCTGAAGGCTCGCCTCCATCACCTCTTCCCGGGCCCCTCCATCCATCCCTGTCCCCGGGGTCCCTCAGCCGCAACTCTCACCAGCATGGTCGGCGAAGGCCTCACAGAGGCCCGACGCCTCCTCGGTCGCCCACTGCTCCAGTGACTTCTTGCCCGGGCCGAAGTTGCGCAGGGTGGACACGGAGGAGCGCCGCGGCTCGCGCCACTCGCGCGGGTAGCGCGCCAGAATCACACCTGGGGGCGGGGCTCTGGCGTGTCCGCCCCGCCCCTGCCCCGTTCACAGTCCCGCCCCCTGTGATACAGGGCCGGCCCCCTGCCCGCCCATACCAACCTTGCTCCCCACCCCCACTAAAGCGCGCCCACTTTGACACCCACTTCCCGCTGGGCACACGTCGCTCTGCCTGCCCGCTTTGCTCGCCAGCCGGAGGCAGGTGCTGGCCCCAGTCCGCTCTGCCCACCTTGACTCCTTCTCAGTCAGGGAAAGTCCTGGCCCGCCCCCTGCCTCGCCCACACGAATTCCGTCCTCCTCATTCCCGCCCACCCTGGACATCCTGTCCCTGCTCCCGCGAGCCCTGGGCCCACCCCGTCTTGGGCAGGCCCCGCCCTCATCCTCCCGCGTCCCACTCAGGCGCTTGGCACCAACTCCTTCCTCCACCTGGAGCCCCTCCAAACTTGCTACCTCTTCCCTGCACTGCACGTCCACGATCCTGCCCCCGCGTGGGCCTGCCGGAGCTTGAGTCACTGCTGGCCCAGTCCCGGCCAGGCCTCGGTCTGCCCCCATCCTCCGCTTGCCTTGGGAGGGCGGCCGGAAACCGGGGGGCTCATAGACCCGCATAGGCGGCCGGTGGGCTGTGTCCTCGCTGTGGTACACCAGTGCCTCGCGCACGGCGTCCAGGCCACTGAGCACGACCACGGGCGTCCAGACCAGCTGCAGGCTGAACACGTTCCCGAAGCCGCGCCGCAGCTGCAGGCCAAGGGTCGAGGGCGTTCGTCAAGCCGGGTGCCCACCAGGCTGCAGGCCTCAGTCTCATGGCGCTAGGCTTGGGGCACCCCTGGGCCACCAGCAGCACTGGGGTGCAAGGGCGAGATCGGCCTCCTGACCGTGGGGGTCACATTCTCTCTGGAGGAGGGGCTGACGCTGGATCACACCTCTCAGCTATGACTTTGCAAAGGTCACCAAAATTGTCACTAGGCCAAGTTAGGATAGATAGGTGATAGAAACTCAAGTTCATAGAGGTGAGCACTGAGGCCCAAAGACCCACAGCGGCAAAAGAGTTGAACCTGTCACTCTACCTATCTCAGCCTCGGTTTCCTGATTTAAATGGGGCTCATGTCCAGATTCCTTCCCCCATTCTCAAGACCTTTCCTCCTGATGTCATCAGAAGGGACCCAGGTCACGTAATTTAAGTGCTATGCAACTGGATCTCAAATCCACTGCCAAGTCCGCACTCCACTCCGGGCCTTTGCTCTCGCTGACCTTTGTTTGGAAAACCCAAAGTGTCCTTCAGGCCCTGCACAAAGGCCCTCCCGCAGTTAGCCCTGCAAACCTGCCTCTTCTCAGCCCAGCTCCTTGCGCAGCCTTGTGGCTTCACCCACCAGCCGCTGTCTGCTGCCAGGTGGGGTCCCCAGGATCTCTGCTGCCACCCCCCTACCTTCGTTACCTGGTCAAAGTAGCAGAGTGTGTTCTGGAAGTCCATCTGCAGCAGGTTGCCCCGCAGGGGCAGCCCAGCATCCGCGCCTCTGCATCAGGTCCACCAGGAGCAGGAAGATGGCCACGGCCACGGCCAGGGACCCCAGCGTATCCCCAGTCAGCAGCCCCAAGGCTGCCTCCGCGCCCCCTGGCCTCCTCTGGCACACGGGTGTCCCTCACCACACCAGGGCCCTAGGACCAGCCAGAAAGGGGGCTCTCACCACACTCGGGGAGCTCATCCAGCCTGGCCCCGCTTTCTAAAGGGAGCCGAGACCGGCCTTTGCCCTCTGCCCCGAGTCAACATGTCAGGGCGACTGTGCTGCCAGAGGTGCAGGGAGGGGCCGGGCAAGGTCAGGTGCAGGGATGACGCCAAGAGTCCTGTCCCTCCTGGCCTCTCCGGGTGCCTACCCAGGGTAGTGGGGTGGGGGTAGGGGAGAGATGATGAAGCCCCCCCTTCAGCCGGACTCTCCAGCTCTGCTACAGGCTCCGAGGAAAAGCCAGGGGTCACTGGACTTGGTCCTGCCACCCACCCGTCACATTGGGTCACACCCTGTAGTGTGGTCCCAGCCTTGGCCCCAGAACACATCCGTGCCCGATCACGTTACCTGCCTCCTCCCAAGTGGTTTTCGCCTCCCGAGTTTGTTACTGGCACTTGCCCAGTACTGTAGGGAGGTCGCAATGATCAGAGGGACCATGTGCAGGGGGAGGGGGCAGCGTGGAAATGAAGTTCTCAGCGTCCCCTCCCTTCACCCCAGTTCACTCCACACACACAGAACCCCACAATCACCAACCGCTCACACATTCACAGACACTACCTACGTGCTCACATACTGACAATCACAGGCATTTACACACCCACAAGACCATGCACACACCACTTACACACACACACACACACTCGGACGCTGGAGGTGCTCTGTGCTGGGTGCTGGGCTAAGTACGGCAACCCAGTGGGAGGACCATGGTGAGTCCTGCTCCAACGTGCTCATGGCCCAGAGGAGGCATGGGGAGCCAGAGAGCGGCCAGGCCCGGTCAGCAGTGTGGGGACCGCCTTCAGGGCCATGGGGACATTGCCCCCAGGCTGGGACAGGACGTGCCAGGAACACTTCATGGGGGACCTTGGCTGGCTTGAACCACAAGCCAAGGTGACCTGGCAGCAGGGCCAAAGCCCCACTGCAAGGCCTCGTACCCGGTGGGTGTGGGGGCAGTGCGAGGGGGCTCTGCAGGTCGGGCTGAGGACTAGACTGTGGGAAACCGGGGTCTCGGGGCTTCCAGGAGGCAGGGAGCCCACTTCGGAGGCCACTCAACAGACCAGGAGGGCGAGACCCAAGGGCACGCTGGGGCCTCTTATCTGCCTCAGCTGAGTGTCCCGGAGAGCAGCACAAAGCGGGCAGGACGGCCCAAGCGTGCTGTCACCCGCTGGCCCTGGTAACACTGCCTTTATCTGCCCGTCATTTTGGTTGCCTTCCCCAAGTGGTCGCCTTAATGGCGTCATGAAGGGCAGCGGCCTCCCCGTCCTAGGGGCCCGCTGTCCAGGATCGGGTGGCCGTGAGGAAACCGGCCGTCATGAGGCCTGTGGCCTTTTGCCATCACTGGGCAATTGCAGCTTCGTGGTCCCCAAGCACCGAGGAGAAGGAATCTCAGGTCACGTCAGGAGGTCAAAGTCCTAGAGCGGCATCAGGGGCCATTCCAAACGCACGCTCGGAGTTACGTCTACACTGTTTGAAAGTGAACTTCTCCAAGGGCCAGCACGTTACTGAGATTGATTTAGAAACACTCTGCCCCCCCCCCCGCCGTAGGGGTGGGGGGGTGAAGCTGCTCTGGTGAAGCTGGGGTAAGCGTGAGCGCTCCCGGGGGCCCTCCGGGTCAGGGGTGTTCAGCGCAGGGGAGGGTTTTCTGTCGGGCAGGGACGCCAGCAACACGGGGACTGGGAAGTGCCGGCCCGGGGCCCCCCACGCGATGCAGAGCGCAGTCCTGGGCGGGGGCTCTAGAAAGTGGGTAGGGAGCCTGGGCACCCAGCGAGGGTGGCATTTCGCTCGCCTTGCCCCCGCCCCCTCCCCGAGGCACGGCCCGCCCGTGGGGGAAGCCCCCCCAGTTCCCACTCCTTCCTGCGGGCAGAAAGGAAAAGCGGACCCCCGCATCCAGCTTGCCAGGGGCAGCAGGCAGGTGGGGGCGGTGTTTTAAGGGTACAGGGTGTCCAATCGGCAGACGAAAAGTTCTGGAGATCCGTCGCACGACAATGTGAATATACTTAACACTACTAAACTGCACTTACTGGTTAAGACAGTAAATTTTATGTTTTTAACCATAACTTGAAAACATATATAAAAATCACCATTGCGTACCTATTAAAATGGTCAAAATCCAGAACACTGACGACACCAAAGACTGGCGAGCCTGTGGAGCAACCTTCATACGTTGCTGGTAGGACCGCAAAATGGTTCAGCTGCTGCGCGAGTCAGTTCCATCGTTCCTTACACAAGGAAACCTTCTTACCATAAGATCCAGCGAGCTCCTTGATTATTGACCCAAAGGAGTTGAGAACTGACGTTCACACAAAAACCTGCACACGGATATTTATAGCAGCTTTATTCGTCATTGCCAAAACTCGGAAGCAACCAAGATGTCTTTCGGTAGGTGGATAAATGGTAGTACATCCAATGGAATATTCTTCAGTACTAAAAAGAAATGAGCTACCAAGCCACGAAAAGATGTGGAGGAACCTTAAATGCATTATCACTAAGTGAAGGAAGCCAATCTGACAGGGCTGCATACTGTAGGATTCCAACCATAGGACATTCTAGAAAAGGCAAAACTATAGAGATAGTAAAAAGCCCAGGGGCTGGGAGGAGGGAGGCAGGACAGGCCGAGCACAGAGGATTTTTAGGGCAGTGAGACTACTCACTACTGTGTGATACTGGAACTGTCTGTCCAAACCCACAGAATGTGCAACACCAAGAATGAACCCTAATGTTAACTATGGGCTTTGGGGGACAATGATGTGTCAGCGCAGTAGGATCACCGGCTGTCACAAAAATAGCGCTCCGCTGGGGAAGGCCACGTATGGGGGGCAGGAGGTATTATAGGAATGTTCTATAACTTCTGAATACTGCTATGAACTTAAACTTGCTCTAAAAAAGTGTATGGAAAAAAATACACAGAACTTAAAAGCAGTGGGAGCTGAAATGCACATGAGTGGAGGTTTCCTGCAGAAGCCGGAAAGCTGGAGCCAGGAGGGGAGTGTGGCGCAATGGTCATGTCAGAAGCCAGTTTGAGGAAAGACCTAGAATCATCACAAGTGCCTTGCTCAAGGATCATCAGCAAGTCAAAAGGGGACAGAAGAAGAAAAGCAAAATGACAAAGAATCATTTGCCGTCAGGAAAATATTTTCCTCAAGATACATTATTTTTCAAGTTTTGCGGTTTAGCCCCTGACACTTGAAATCTATCAAATTCATATGAACTGTGTTAATGCCAAGCCCAGACTAGACGGAAAGCCACACAGCTCAAAAAGCCGCCATTTCTATGCAGGTCCCATGGCCCGCGCAGCATGCCCACCCACGCCTCCATCCTGGTGAGCGAAATGAGAAATGCACTGCACCGCTTGATAGAACCATTAGAACAGAATTAGTCTGCCATTTCTGCAGCCCCAAATTGATGAGCACGCAGGAACTCATTTATAATTGCTTATTTCTACTTCACAACATTCCTTCCAGTATTTCTGTTCTCTAAAAAAGTCCATTAACATTGCATTATTTTTTTATAACCTTTAAAATTAATGTTGATTGGAAATATGTCCTCATACCAACTTAAGTAAATCTGACCGTCCCCACACACTGGCTGAGTTCCACCCACCAAGGAGGAGCCGCAGAGAGGAGCCCTTGGTTTTGTTTCATTCCAGGCCCTGCTGCGAGAGCCACCGGGTGGGGTGGGGGTGGGGGGAACGGACGACGACACACGGGCTCAGCTGGACAGTCAGAGGGCAGCCTTCTCTGCAGTGCAGCAAAACCACCTTTGGGGGCTGGAATGGGAGGAGGAAGAGACGCGTTTGCTTTATATTAAACAAAAAAGGAAACAAGGTTAAAATGAAGTTTATTATTTTTTGATTTTTTTTTTGTTTGTTTTTTAAATAAAACTGTTTGTGAAACAGCTATTTTATCCCCACGGCAGAGTGACCCCTGAAAGATGCACTAACCCCTTCTTAAGGCCTTAACAAGATTTTTTTTGTACTTTTTTCTTCTTTTTTTAAAACTCAGATATTTAAAAATTATACAATTTACAAAACAAAACAAAACAATACAACATAAAGAATCATGTAGGGTGGGGCTGCTCACCTGACAGGCCCCCTTTTCCTTTATAAAAATGAAAGCAAAAAAAAAAAAGGGTTAACTGGGTGTTCCTGGTCAGCGTAACCCACACTGATCACACTCGACACAGTCCCTCCCCCCAGTGTCAATTCCTACAGCTTAGATTTCCTGTCCTGTCCTTCCGTCCTGGGGGGGGGGGCAGGACTCAGCTGCCAGGAATGCGCCCAGAGGCGGGCCACCCCCTGACCCTGCCTGCCGTGCTCACTTAGTGGGGCGCTCAAGGTTCTCACTGGCCACAGTGATCCAGGACAGAGCTGTGACCTTGGGACATCTGCCAATTTCACCCCCCAAAAAGATAAAAATTTTAAAAATAATAAATAAATAGTGTTTCTGGAGATGAAAAAAATTTATTTTTGTGTTTAAACATCATTCCCCCACTCTTGAAAACACGGACCGTCCCCACATCCCCCGCCCCGCACCCCTCCCCCGCAACTTTCCCACTTTGACAAATTAATGACAAAGGATGGTTCTGGTGTGGTTTGTCTGCTCTTTCAACCCTGGGTCTGCAGCTCTCTGAACCGGTGTGAGGCAGGCTAAAGATCAAAACCACATCCCGTCCTTTATGAGACCAGCTTGTTCAATTTCACACTTAAATTTCACTGTTATTGGAACAAATTTGGAGTTCTTTAACTAGAGAATTTTAAAATAGAATCAAAAGGGATAGCGCACCTTTCATTTAAACAAAGTCTTTCCAGACTAAAAATAGATTTATATATATATATTTTTATCCCACCCTTT